GGGGAGCAGAACAAAGCTCCCATGATCCAAGAGGAAATGGTTAGTGACCTGCTCAGCCAATTAGACATACACAAGTCCATCGGGCCAGATGGGGTCCACCCAAGGGTACTGAGGGAACTGGCAGAGGAGCTCACCAAGCCCCTTTCCATCATCTATTAGCAGTCCTGGATGACTGGGGAAGTTCCCCTGGGCTGGAGGTTGGCAAATGTGATGCCCATTTATAAGAAGGGCTGGAGGGAGGATCCAGAGAACTAAGGCCTGAGAGACATGGTTTAGTAGTGGACAGGTACAGTTGGACTTGATGATCTTAAAGGCCTTTTCCAACCAAATGATTCTATGATTCCTTTGTTAAACCATTTTAGCCATTTGTTGGGTTTCTGTAAAACAGGGTTTAGATTTTCACCTAAGCTGTGGAGACAGAAATGGTTCGGATTAGCTAGTTTAATCAGATTTCACAGGACTCACAAATAGTATTGAGATGGAATCTAATTTCTTGGAGAAGACAACTTATGTTTATTACATTAAATACAGTCCAACTGGGCTCTGCTTCATCCCAAGTAAGGAAAAATAAAGTAAAATTTGGGTGGCTACCTTAACGAAGCTGCCTTGGTACATACCTCTCAGTCATCATTGAAATAATGCTGTTTATCAAGTTTATCAAGCACAAATAGCAAAGCACAAATTGTTCCTTCCCTATGTTTCAAAACAACTCAAAAAGAATGAAAAAATGTTTTAAGAAAGCTGGACTTAGGTACTTATATTCTTTCATCTTGCTGTGGGAGCTAATTACTTTATTACTTTCAGGGTGTGATTCCAAAAAGTACTCAGTACTGATCTTGTTCCGATTCCTCTGAAGTCACCAGTAAAACTTTTGTCAGCTCAAAAAGACAGTACTGATGTTGGCTGTTTTTTTAAAAGAGCTTATTGCCTTGGTGTTGCAGAAGCATTTGTCTTGAAGAACTGGCAAAGGTTAAAAGAAAACCCAGTAACAGAACAAAACAGAGTAACAACCAAGTCTTTTTCTTGTTGAAGTAATGACTCACAAAAGGGTACAGGCATTCCCTAACCTTCAAAGGTTTTATCAGTTCTGCTTAGAACTGATCATCACCAGTGATGAGGGGTTTTTAATATGAAAATAAGATAGCTGTCTACATTAGAACTATGTCAGATTTCCAGCCAGAAGGCAGAAGAGAGGAGCCTCAGCTCCGGCATTGGAAGATTGAGAAGTGGAGTTTGGCAGGCTCCTGGAGGAAGCTGTATCTCAAGTAGCTGTGCTCTGGTTTTGAGGGTAGCAGGTGAGACATACAAAAGCAAGTCAGCCTTATATAAAATCTATTATACCACAAAGCACTTGGTTAAAAACAAGTTGCTGCTTAGAAATTATGGGGACTCTTTCAATGGTCTTTACCCAGAGTCTAATTTTTTTTTTTTCTGAATTCCTAACATGCACTGAAGAACTCAAGTTGTTTCTTGGCTGTAGTGGAAACTAAAGAGGCAATCAGTTATTTATACACCCTTGAGAAACGGATATGGTAAGCATATAGGATATGGTAAGCAATCCAGAATGTCCCTATATCCAGAATGCTCAGAATAATATGTCTGCTGTGGTGTCACTCCTGACATCAGATATAAACTTCCTCCCAGCCTATACCTGAATTTCAACGTTGATACATCCTGAGGGTACTGTTTAATAGCATGGTATTAATTCTGAATGGACTTGACTATATTATTGAATATTTTGCCTAAACACTTTGTAGCACTGTCACCGCCATTCACTAGAATTCATTATTGCTGCAAGAATCATCAAAATACTACTGAAGGTGAGTAACTCTAGGGTAGGGAAATAGAAAAATGAGCTGGTGGAAGTGCTCACCAAGCTGTTTTCCTCATCCCTTAAGGTATTTAAAAGACAGGTAGATGTGGTGCTTAGGGACATGGTTTAGTGGTGGACTTGGTAGTGCTAGGTTAACAGTTGAACTTGATGATCTTAAAAGTCCTTTCCAACCTAAACGATTCTATGATTCTATGATCAGGCAAATTAATCAAAGTACACAGATGATCCAAGCTTGAAATCAAGAGCATTAAAATAGAGAGAACATATTCAAAACATATAAGTATTGGCTATATTGTGATGAACACGCCAGCCTCTGCAAATTCTCTCTCTTTCTTCACAGATACACACAAGACAACAGCTTAACTATTTCTTCAAGGTTCATTTCTCATCTTAAGTCAGAGTATCTGTGTGCTTGTACCATAATTACTCCAACAGCTAATTATGATGCCATAGACAGACCATTGTGATTCAAGGACCAGACTGAACAGCAGGAACAAACACAAAGCAAACAATAACGTCTGTGCTTCCACGGCAGCACAGTGGCTTTACCAATAAACAGAAAAAAGAATATGCAGAAGAGAGAAAACAGATGAGAGGAAATTCAGGAAATGTATGATGTTCACAAATATTCTCTACAGACAAAGTGTTTTTAAGATTAGACCAAGTGTTCCTACAAGCAGAGTACAAACTTTGAAGAATGCAGTGTAAGGGGAAAATTTACAAATACAATTCTCCATAACAGAGGATCAGGGAAAACTTTTGGTCATATTTATACTGTTTCATTCTGAGTGGATGACAAGGCTAAGAATAAAGCTGGTACTTACATCCCGAGCTGCCATTTGTTGGAACCAAAGTGAAGTTGGAGGCCCAGGGGTTACGCACGATATCTTGCCAATGAATGGTGTCTGCGAAGCAAAGAAATTTGTTCTGGCCAACATACACTCCTCCATTCAGTATTTCTGCATAAAAGAACAAGAGAACATACTTGTAAGACTTTAGACATACAGCTGATTAAATCTATTGCTGCTTTGTGTATTGGAGAGAGACGGCATGAAATTTAAATGCCAAAAATTCTCACTGTAATCTCACTTAATACTCTGAAAACTGGAGGGCAAGTAGCTTACAGTATTTGTAAACAGGAACCATTTATTTATATGCAGAAGAAACCTGATGAAGCCAGCCACACAGTTGCTAGATGAGTTATTGGGTTTACCTGTTGTTCCCATGTAATCAAGTATAGAACAGTACTGTTACTTGTGGGTAAAATAACATTCAAGACTTAACTGACTAAAAACACAAGCAATCAGCCACACTATGCTGTATTTAATTAATAATTATGAACACTTAAAACATACAATAAACTAACGTGCTCCACTGGGGTAGGAATTTTCTGGGCCCACAGTACATGAGAAGGGTTCAGTCATCATGATGTCTGGAAAAGCATGTTTTCTGATCAGAGTGTGCTGCTGTAATACCATGATCCAAAATACTCAACATCTATGATCCAAATCTCAAGTACTATCATCAAACCCATGATTGACAAACTTTGCTGGAAGCTTTGTGTCAATGGGAGGTGGTTTCTGAACAGATAAAAGTTGTTTGTTTGTTGTTGTTTTTTTTAATTTTCATGTTTATATCAGTTGGTTTAAAAATAATGTCTTGTTCCCCTATCTCTAAAGACTTGATTTTCAAATCTCAACATGAAAATGATCTTACAGTTGTTGGTTGTAGCACCAGGGTTTCCTCTGGAGCAATAACTTTTTTTTTTAACCCTCTAAACTCTTGTTCAAATTCACAACTTCTTTTCTTAACCTGGCTCTATTTTCAAAGCAAAGGACAATCCATGTGACTTTCATTAAAGTTAACAGGAGCTACACAGCTAAAACCTCCTGCACAGCTTCGTGTCAGAGATTCAAGCCTCAGCAAAGAAATGCTGAAGGTTAGTTACTAATGGCACCTTAGAATGACATTAAGTGCTGCTTATACAGCCAGGAGTGTCACACTTCTCACAGAGACATTAAGAGTAAATCTTGACTGTGGTAGCAATCATTAAGGTCGTCTGATAGTCCTCATCTCCCAGGAAAACCTTTAAAAGCTGTAGTGGGAATGCTAATGTTAATAAACAACAAGGGAGGAATTACTGCATATTTTTTAAAAAACGTCAGGGTTTATAGGCCATGGCACATAGAGGAGGTAGCCCCCAAGAAAAGAACGTATTAAATAAGGATAATCTGTACATACATCCTTCCACCATATTAATCATCTCAGAGTATTACTATTTCTTAGAAACCTCTGGTTTAAAAGCTTGGCTTTTCACTGAAAAGGGGCTTAAAAATGAAAACAATAATAATAATCCTACACAGAAGAGAGTCCAGATTAGAGATATAGCAATGATCTGTCTGTATGATATTCTTATGATCCCTGAAAAAACCCATACAGCATCTGTTAGCAATTCTGTTCTGGGGAAAAAGTGGGACTTAGAAGAACACTTGAAAACATGACTAGTGATGATTTCTCTGTGTTGTCCCAACTATACAGGATTATCTAATCCATTATGGCCCAGGTTTTGATTAAAAATAACATCTAACAAGCCACGGAAAACTGTAAAATCTACATTCATAGCTTCTTAAACACGTGCACACGATTCCAAATAGTGTCACTATCAGTTGGTACATCTGAACACCTGCCACTGGCATAATTTCTGTTTTTTAGAGCATTCTCTCACGACAATACCTATCAAATTTTCTTTTAAGCTAGGAACTTTGATGCATTTTTGTATAGCAGGCAGCATCTCACTCTAGAAGTAATCCTAATAGTTCCAATTTGTGGAGAAAGACTTTTTGGAGCATAAAAGTAACCAGAAAGTGTCCCCTCAAGGAAAGCTGACAGCTTTCCTTGCAATTTACTAAAAGCAAACATGGAAAATACTCTGGCTTCCCTCACCACTGAGTAATAAACGTTGTTTCTGCTGCCCTTCCTGAAAACCATAATGCAGTATCTTTACTTGCTCTGCACTGTACCATTTGTCACAGGTGACAGGATTAAAGTTTACAGGTCTATTCATGCGGTGAGGCACTAATAAACCAGAGTAATAATATCAAAGATGGGCTCTTACAGGTATTAAATAACCCTGAGTTCAAAGTTTAGTACAATCTTTAAAGTACTTGTGCTTGACTATTCCTGCTCTGTGGGATCCAGATTCATTCATTTTCTATCTTCCTGTTCCAACCTGCTATCCTAGTTTCCTTTACGCTGAGTCCTCAGCATGTGTAAATCAGCACAGGTGCATTGGCTTCACTGACTTAAACTCAAATGCATTTTGCACTTCTCCACCTTCTCTTAGCAAGAATAATGCCTGGAAAGACCTAATAAACCCTGTTACATGTTAAGCAAATGAAGCACAAATGTAATCAATATACAATAGAGTTACTGTATAATGAACTCATCATCATAAAGTCATCATCTCATTTTAATTTACAGCACTGAAAGTGAGAGATAAAGTTAAACAATAAACAGGAGGAGAAAGGCAGGCATCTCTGCCTATGCAGATGAGCTAGCAAAGGAAGCTAGGCAAAAAGAGCTTTCTTCTGCGTGCAACACCTGAGGTGCCTCTTTGCAGAACGCTTTCCGAGGATGGAACAGGAAAGAGAATGACAAGTCCCCTAGTGAATTTTGTGATTTCTACTGTGAAGAAAGTAGCTAGTTCCTGCCAAAGCAGCACTAAAAAGGACTGCACACAGTGGACAGGAGGCAGAGCACTCGGCTCTATCAACTGTTGCCTGAAACACCTACCATGCCATGCTGGCAGCAAACATTACCCTTGGACTTCTATGCTGCTCAGGGACACGGAGTTACAAAAGGGGATTTTGAAGCACAAGTCCCACTAGCTTTCATTGGCAAAAGAGTTCCTAAAGGTGCCAGACAATTTTGGATGCCTTCCCGTAAAGTACTGATGGCCACACTTAAGAGTACCATGATCTCTCATTTTGGTACCAGGGCTGCAGCTGATGCTCTGAGAGAAGGAGTAGCTCCAAGGTCTTTTGCCACTCGATTCTGAAGTGAATGAAAAATCTTACCATCTTCCTTATTAGAACTACTTTGCTGGCTTAACAGCAGTACAATTCTGTAACCAAACTTATATGAAAATAAATCAGCAAGTGCACTCACCACTGACTTCTGTCATTATTTTGCTTATTGCTGCCAAATGAACTTATATCTGCATATTATTAAAATTCTATTAAATGGTTATTTATTCAGGAAGCTAAATCAGAAATGTATTATCTTTTATATCTACTATTTTCTTGCTTCCATTAGCCCAGTGATGAAGCAGAACCATTACCACATAACTTTGGTAACCTACCATACAATATTTACAATACTAACAGGAGAAATGGAAACATATATGTCTCCGGCAATCATGGAATGTAAGTATCTTAAACTTTCCGTAAAGTGCCATGGAACACAGATAGGTACATCACACACAATTTATACTTAGTCTGCTAAGTTCAAAAAGGGGCTAAATTCATAACATCTATTCTCATACAATGAGTTTGACTGGAATCAGTGAAAATGCATCACCAGCCACCAGAAGCTTAAGATCACTGCAAAAAAGGCAAAGGGACACTAGCTCTGCGTGTTGTCCGTTTAGACTGGAGATGGAAAGAACTCTTCTTCATCCATCTGTTAAAAAGGCATTTTCTTCAGCTGACTTTTTCTTGAGTGCTATGTAATCCCTTATGGCCTGTTATCTAATTTCTAATACGGATTAAATTGGCAAAACATGTTCATATTCTGCAACGCGTCCTGAAATGCAAGTAACTCATGTGTGTTGATAGGCAGTGGGAGCTGTAGGCATCTATTTAGCAGTAGAATCTGGTTCTAAAATTGTTATAAAATTGCTATTGCTATTCAAGGTTGCAAATTGAAAGCTCTTCTCTGGAGCTATGAAGCCAGCTGGCATGATGAATTGGAAGAAGGCTTAGAGAGAGGAAAAAGAACTAGGTCTAAAGTGGGCAGAGAAAGGGGAAGCAGTTAATTAGGAAAAACTGTGGGGCATGTCCACTGTAACCACTTCAAAAGCAAAACGGAAGATATCTTATACCTTCCAGGCTGACTGTCTGCTAAGGAAACAGCTGTCTTTTATGCTACACCACATACAGGTATACTCTGCCCAAACAGATTATATAATGCATGTTGATGATACCTTAATTTCCAAGGTCATCCTCCATTAGAGCTGAAGCATCTTTGCATGCTGACAGTGCTGCATCTTCGCCATCACCACCCAGGTGATGGGGATCTGTTTTCAGATACTGTATCACTTATGAAACACTGTCATATTTCACCTAAGAAGCTGAACACGTTATCCAAAAATGGCTTTGGCCTGGAAATTTCGTGCCAAACCAAGTCTTTTGATCTCTTAGCACAGTTGATTGCTGATGACCCACTGGGAAAGCACTTCAGGTCCATCATTAATAAGCTATGTCTTAAAGGGTAATGAGAACTGGGTGCTTTAGGAGACAATAGCTCATCCATCATCAATCAAGATCTGAAGTTTTTATACAGATGATTTAAGAAGAATTGGACTGTGTAAAATTGAAATGTCACATTTGTGTTGGGAGATGGGGGGAGCTTGGTAATGAAAATGAGAGTTTTAACCTTCTCCATTTCAGCTCAATGACCACACTCAAAAGCTCATGGATGTGGAATCTGTGTACCAGCTAGAAGCCTCAGACAGCCTTCGATCTCAATTATACAATTTCAAGTAAAGATTATTTGGGTCATTAGCTGGAAGTCAGTTTCAAGGTTTGATGGTAACAGCAAGATATTCTTTATTTCTATCAAAAGCAATCAGTGTTATGTGCAGCCTGTGGGTCTGTAGTTCCAACTGCTCAATAACTAAGAACACTGGATTGTAGCACCTGAGCATAGATCTTCCAAATCCAGCTACCTATTTTAAACC